CCCACAGTTACCAATTCACGTTTGCAAACAACCTCAACTGGAGTTCCTTCTACGCCGCGGGCCCTGAGATCCATCGCTACCTGAAGAATGTAGCTCGTCGATACGATGTCGAGCGATACGTCAAACTCCGACATCTTTTCCTTGGAGCCCGGTGGCAGGCGGCGGATGGAAAGTGGGAGGTGGAGATTGAAGATCTCGAGAGTGGAAGAGTATGTAACAACCTTTTTTTTTGGCCCAGAAATACATACGACATAACGTTCACATGTGGCTGACAAAAGAAACCCGCAGAAATTCACCGACCGGGCAGACATTTTGATCAGAGCTACCGGAATTCTCAATCGGTGGGAGTGGCCAGACATTCCAGGCCTTCGCGATTTCAAAGGGACTCTCCTACACTCGGCGGATCGAAAGAGCTGGGAGACTCCGCTGGACCCCAAGGGGAAAAGGATAGCTGTCATTGGGGGTGGCTCGTCGGGAATCCAGATTGTGCCTCAGCTCCAGCCCACGGCGGCTCGGATTGACCATTATATGAAGGGCAAGACATGGGTGTCGCCAGTTGGTTACGGATCCGACAAATCCAACCGGGGAGTGACGGATAACTGTAAGCCTCTCCCTCTCTCCCTCTTTTGAGGGCCAGAAGATCTGGTAGCACAAGACTACCCGAGATAAAACACTAATTTGAATCTCCAGATAAATATTCAGAGGACGAGCTCAGGACGTACCGCGAGAATCCCGAAGAGTACATCAGATACCGGCGGGAAATCGAACGGATCATGAACGCCAAACCCGAGATCCTGTTCAAGGGCACCGAGGAGCAAAAGGCCTTCTTCGCGCTCAACGACGAGTCGATGAAGCAGAAGCTCTCCAAGAAGCCACACATATACGAGAGCCTGCGGCCGGACTTTTCGCCCTTTTGCCGCCGGCTCACTCCCGGTCCGGGCTTCTTAGAGGCGCTGGTCGAGGACAACGTCGAATTCATCGGCTGTGGCATCGATACGGTGGTGGAGAATGGTATCAAGGCCAACGATGGCAAGGTGCGCGAGGTGGACGTGATCATCTGCGCCACAGGCTACGATACGTATGTCGTTGTTGTTGTTGTTGTTGTTGTTGTTGTTGTTGTTGCCCTCATCTTCTTCCTCTGACCGACTAACCGGGTGCGCAGATCCATGGAAAATGAACCACCCATCATCGGACTCGACGGCAAGACCCTCGCCGATATGTGGAATCCCGACCCTCAGGCCTATCTCTCGATCTGTGTGCCGAAGATGCCAAACTTTTTCATCTTCTTTGGCCCGAATGGCGGCGCTGGGTCCGGGTCGGCAATCCCCTTTCTCGAGTCGGTGACGCTCTACCTCGTCAAACTGGTGCAGAAGATCCAGCGAGAGTACATCAAATCTATGGTCGTTACGTACGTTGCGAAAAGGCTCCCTCAATTCCCTTTCCCTCTTTTTTTTTGTTGGGTCTTGACTCATTGTAACCATGCGTTGGGACCTAAAACAAGTACATCATGACTGACCTTGTTTGCTTGTGATCTATAGTGAAAAAGCCACCAGCGACTTTGTCAAACATGTCGACGAGTACTTTTCCAAGACAGTTTTTACCGAAACGGTACGTTCCAGAAGAACTCTTATTTTGTTGTTCGATATCGTATACCTCTGATCTCTTCCGTTTCTTTCCCTCCCTTTCCTTCCCTTCCTCGTCGCCGCTTCTCACCTGATGTCATACCGTCCTACCATCCAGCCTGAAGACACTAACAAAAATCCGCCAGTGCAAATCGTGGTTCAAGCGCAACAAGCAAAACGGGCGCGTCACGGCCCTCTGGCCCGGCGCGTCGATCCACACGCAAAAGGCGCTGGAAAACCCGCGCTACGAAGACTTTACATACGAATACCTCGACGCCCTGGGCTCCAACACCATGGCGTGGCTGGGTAACGGGACGACCGTGGCGCAGGTCAGCGGGGAGGACACGACAGAGTACCTGGTCGACAATGACGTTCCGCCGCCGATTGTGGAGGGGGTGCATGAATGGGATAACTAGCAGGTTGTTGCAGTCGACTTGCTCTGCAGGCTGGTGGTCGGAGAGCGCGTCGAGAATTTACTTGATTTTACTTGTATACAGATGGGCCCCTTCTTTGACCAAGGAACCGACTTTGTAGTTCTTATATGCGGAAACAATAAATAACCACATACCGTTTCTACGAGTATACCTACCCAAGTCCCGAGATGTTTGACGGTCCAGCGATATCACGAAGTTATAGTCACACCGGTCCTTGTCCCAGACCTCAAAGACGGAATCCTGTGTTCGAGGCATTTGCAATTGCCTACTCGTATTCCGCCGCCCAATTGACCCTGTCAGACCATCGTGAGGTATTCCTACGCCACTAATTCGTCTGTTATCGGTGCGTCGTAATGCTCCTGAGATACTCGCACTGTCTCAGGGCGAATGGTTTAATGGAGTGGTGCTGGAACTGTTGGTAGAGCAAAAAGTCCTACTTCGTAATGTACTGGTTACATCGAGAAGCAAGAGCAGAAACAGGGAAAAAAGAGGGTTGGGGGAATGACAGTTGCCTGTATATTGTATACTGTATCTGGTTCCTGGATTCCTGGTTTACATACGTACACTCCTCTAAACAGTAACGGGGGGGGCGTGATGCCCAGGTTTTGTGGCCTGATGATACCGCCCAATCTTCCATCTCGAAAAGCGGTGACCATCTTCATTCTTCCAACAATCCACCGCATTTGTGGCAAGGGTGAGAAAATGCCTGCCTGACTTAGGGTGAATACTCATGCTGAGTGTGTGAGGGTTCAGCATTCTTTTTCTCGTCTCCTTGAGCTGTCATGACCACGGCCTCCGCGTCATCCACTTTGACGACGTGCCTGTGGTGGGCCAACTTCTCTTCAAGCTCGGCGCGATGCGACGGTTTGGCGTAGAGGTAGTCGATTTCTTCCAGAGTGAGGCCCTTGGTCTCCTTGACGAAGAGGTAGATGAAGACGACCTGCAAGACGTTGCCGATGCAGAAGAGAAGATAGAATTTCCATCCGGCGTGCGTGATGCCAATTGGGCCAACCTGTGAAGACCATGGTTAGCTTTCCACTCCATTTGCTGGTCCTGGGTTGACTTACCTTGACGACCACAAAAGTCATGAGCCACTCCATACCCACGGACAGTGCTGAGCCGGCATGGCGCAGATGAAGGGGTGTCACTTCGGCGGCGTAGAGGAAGGGCAAACCGCACCACGAACACCCGTAGCAGAATTCGAACAAGAAGATAAAGACAACCGACGCTGTCAAGGACGAATCGTTGTACACTCCAAGCCCGATGGTGTAGCAGATCATGCAGATGGAGCAGCCTACGGCTCCCCAGAGCAAGACAGGTCGCCGACCCAAAACTTCGACAGACCAGATGGCGGTCAACGTGCCACCCCAGAAGACAAGCGATAAACCTCCCGAAGTGATGCCCGCCTCATTTGGAGTCATGCCGAGATTGTTGATGAAGAGAAATGAGGCGTAGTACGCGATCAAGCAGATACCCCCAAGCTGCTGAAAGAACTGGATCAGGATGCAAATCCAGATTCGCCATGTTGCGTTGACGGGTGACCGATCGAACAAGATGTCTGAAATGCGGAATTTGACTTCATGTTCAACCTCCAAAGCTTGTATGACCTCGCGATGATGCTGCAGAACAGTCGGGTGATCGATGGGGACGTTGAAGATGCGAGCAATAACCGAGTCTGCTTCCGCAAGATGGCCCTTGCTGTACAGATAACGTGGTGATTCGGGGAGCAGCGTAATAGTTCCCAGCGTAAGAACGCAGAAGACCATCTGGAAATAGAGTGGCAGGCGCCAAACGATTCCGCCCGTCATGTTTTTGACCATCCCGTAATCGAACCAGTAGGCGATGACAAGGCCGAGAATGACGATCGAGATCTGTACCGACACGAGGGCGCCGCGGCGGGAGGCGTGAGCACATTCTGACACCCACACAGGGATGATGGAAGAGTTGATGCCGGTGCCGAATCCGCCGACGACGCGGCCAGCAATCATCATGGCGACCGATGTTGCTCCGCCTTGAAGTCCAGCACCGAGAATCAGAAGACAGCATCCGATCATCACCAGCACGCGACGGCCGACCTTCATGCCGAAGATTGCGGTCCCGATACAGCCGACCAGACAACCGATGTCGTAGATAGCCACCACGGTTCCTTGCAGGTTGGCATCAGTGGCTCCTATTCCGAGCCCGTTCAGCAGCTGAGGAGTCGCGATCAGACCCCCAAAAACTCCCTGGTCGTAGCCAAACAGCAGAAAAGCCATGGCAGATGAGAGCATGATGCATACTTGGAGCCACACTCCTTTGAGCGAGCTCCAATAACCAACGTGAAAGCTTCCCATTGTTACAAAGATATGATGAAGTCGAATGGTTCGGAACTGTTGATAAGTTGCACTTGGGTCTTGGAATTTATACTGCACCACCAACTAATGCGTCTCCATCAAGGAGTTCACAATAGCCAATGGATCCATGAGCTGGAGTACCCTCCAGGTATATACCCAATGCTCTGGGTCAAGGGACCTGGTCGATTCCCCAGATGCCGAGGAGAATAGATCTCCGAATTCACCAATCTCCGACCGAGGAATTCATGACGCCCCAGTTTTTCTGGTCCGCCGATAGGGCAATCGAGGCTGGTGTATCTGGGGTATCCCCAGAGAAGACCCTTTTGTAGAAGAATGCGGGAGCAGGGACCCATGCTGTCTGGGGAAACGTGTACGCGAGTTCCCAAGGACCGAGCAGCCTCGCGAGAGGTTACAATCCCGAGCGACAAACCCGATCACCAACTCGGAAAGGACGGCGTTTCCTAAGAGGCACAACGTAGGCATGTTGAAGGGCGTGATTAGACCTGTCTCGCGCTTTGGATATTTCCGTAGGTGTTCCCTTATTCGATGTATAAAGGCATACAACTGTGACTTATGTGAACCGTGCGTTGCGCTGCAAAAGAATAATACTTCTAACTCTGCAAAATGTCTTCCCATTCCCCTAGCCAAGGTGATGTGATGTCGTCGGGTGCGGTAAATTCTCTAAAGGTCGGCTGGAGACACTGCTGAATGTAAGGGTCAGACGACGAAGAGGACGACCAACTTCCGAATACGGCGTCCCCTGCGGCGGCGTTGAGTTGCTCGTCATAGCGCTCCTCGAGTTCGAAGAAATACCCCGATGAGAGCCCTTCGATGTCCTGGCCAGCGGTCTTTCGTACTGGGCTTTCCGTTACTGCTGGTTGTGTCGAAACACTGGCTCGAGTCCATTCAAAATTGTTGGGGCTGAATTGTTCGCCGCCTATCGCCTTGACTGGACCTGACCGGTTTGCGTCTGCAATGCCTGAGCCAAGCGACTCCAGGTGAGTGGGAAAGACTGAAAAAAAAAAAGGTCAGCAAAAGAGTTGATATTACGGGTTTCTCGAGAGATATGATGTGACATACGATATCGTGGAGGGATTCCAGGTGTTTGTAGAGGGCTGCCAGCACTCTTGCTAGCAGCTTCTAGCAGTGTCACAGCCCGCTGCACGGCTGTAAATCTCTTTCCGAGCGTCTGTAGAAGGCCCGTCAAAGATATCAATCTTTGCACCGCTAGGTGGCGTGCCTCTCCATTGGACGATTTGGCCTCAAGGATTAAGATTGTCACGGGAGGCAAGAGAAAATGGAGACTTCATGTATCAGCGGAAGAACAGCATTCAGCGTGATCACAAACTCACCTCCAAGCTGGCATAAAGGACCGACATTGTGAGCCCAACGCATCTTTGGCTAGTTCAGAAACTTGATGAGCAGCCTCAATTGCCTTTTTTCTAAGCTTCCTGCAATTCACTCTCTCATTCGCTGTATGACGGCACCGCAGTGTGCAACTCGAGTCAAAGTAAAACACGCAATCTGCAGCTGCCATGATCATCTGCAAGAAAAGGCGCTCAGATGTTGCACGTTGTCCCGCATTCGACGTGGATTGTTCATCTGGTGAATGTCTGAGCTTCTCAGACAATATCGTTGCGTTCTTCTGCAATTGAATGCGACAATTTGCCAGTTCCGGGTTCGTGAGAGCCATGGAAGGGCACGTCCCACTCCCTTGTGCGACGGTATCGTGCTGACTTGACGGGTATGGAGCGGCATGCTTTATTGAGAGCATGTAATGGATATGAGCCATTAAGTGCACGAGATTCCCAAAAGATTCCATGGAATGATGGGCTGTAGTATCGGCGGAATTGCATGTGGACGATTCCACTCTTGCAACTGGTAATCTCTGGTTGTCGAACGGCGATGGCAGAACATGCTCCCAATCGAGATCCATTCGCATTTTTGGCGCCCGCCGCCGACTGAAGGCAAAGATTGTCTCGCTGACGAGGCAGCAACACCATAGCTGGTGCCAAAATCTCTTGTCTTCACCATCGGTTGTAGCACGCACCATTTTCAAGAGGTCCAGGGACTCGGCATAGGCTAGGGCAGTCCCAGACCAGAAGCAGCAATCTCTTGCACCGTCTCTTACCTCCGTGCTTTGCGTCATAAGTAAGAGGGCCTGTAAACGGCTGATGGGATCAGATTCAACATCGCAATGTAGGAGATGCCTGACGCGCTCATAGTAAAGCTGCTGAGCATCTTGGGGGTTGTTGTGTCCAAGCTTCTGCAGAAGTGACACGGGCGCAAGCTTATGCGATGTCAGCAGCTGAACTCATTACATTCTTGTAATCTTTCGAAGTGGTAACTTACGGGACAAACAGCCATGATGGTAGCATACACCTCCAACAAGCCAGGACGGGGGTTCTGCTTATGAGTCGGGACTGCAGCGGGAGATGATGCCAACGCCATACGCCCTGGATGCAGGACGGGGAAAATTGGGTGGATGTTGTCCCAATATACCGAGAAACACTGTCTCACAACTGCCCTCGATGGAACTTCAAAAACACCCTTGTTGGCAAGAAATTCAACGGTGGCTGGTTCAAGATGGCTCGGTAAGGCTGCAATGAACGATGGTATGCCACCAACCTGCCGTTTGGTCGTTGCTGGTGCATCGTTCGCGTGTATGGGACTGCAGTTGAACTCGTGTGTCTCTAGAATTGTGGGATCCAGCATGAATGGCTTGCTTCCCGTCGTCGCGGATGCATTGCAAGAATCGGAGACTGGCTGTCGGGAGGAAGGCATCGTTCCGTCGTTACTGTCGAGTTGTCTCGGTGATTCATAAGAATAAGTTGGACCATCTCCAGCTGCGCATTTGCCTCGTTGTTAGTTTCTACAGAGGAATATCCTCAACGATCAAGGATCAAAACATACAAAGCATCGGACGGCTAGCTTTGCGCTGCACTCCACACCGAGACGAGGGGATGATGGGCTGCGTGGCGACCTTGCGATCAAGCACAACGCAAGGTTTCGAGTCGAGCTTGCAGTTTGTACATGGTATGCCTTGATGCTGCTGGTCGCACCGGACTTTTCTTTCACGGCAAGATCTGCAAGCCCGGATGGCACGGCGCTTGCGTTTGATCACGGTCGTCGCCGAAAGAGGGCCTTCAGAGCTCTCTCGTATCTCCATGATGTGATGGTTGTGGTGCATGTTACGCGCTGGTGACCCAACAGCAAAATTGTTTTGGATGGAAAAAGGTCGAACCAGGGCAAATATGGCTGTCAGTCAGCCTGGGAGTAGTCACAGGTGGTGTGGAGGCATCGTCGGCTAACAGGTTGGGACCCTGAGAGGGGGGCGGCGGCGACCATTGCCTCCATTGCCCAGCGAGTCTCTCCCCGCAATAATAATGGCTTTGATTCAGAGGCGATGGTGTGCCTGGGGACTTGTGCTTAGGGTCTCCGTTTCCCCCACAGCGGTGTCGACAATTTGGGGGAACGGGGGGGTGCAGCTGTCCCTTGCAGGTCGTTGTGGAACAGACGGGTGGGATGGTGCCTGTGTAATGGAGTGGTATGGTATTGTGTAACGATGAGGGAGATTTATCTGACCGCAGTCTATCACGTGACTTAGTACGCATGTTTTGTGCGCCAAGACGCCAAGATACCAAGGTCGGATACCGGAGAAGACAACGGAATTCACCAGTTTTACTTACCAAGTACAGGAGGCAAAGTACTTGTAGGCACTAGGTTAGTCTTTGCCGAGGGACCCTTCAGTGGCCCCGAATGGAGGGTTCCTGGGGTACTTGGTCCCCAGAACGGGGGCGTCTTGACCTCCCATGCATTCCAGAGCCTCTGCCGCCTCGTTCGACTGAACTCAACCACAGGCGCACTCACACCGCTAGAAACGAAGAAACCGAGACAAGTAATATGCCGCCAGAGGGTGAAGTGCAAGCGAAGCGGCGATACTCATCCAACGCATGCATGACATGCAGGAGAGCCAAAATCAGAGTCAGTTTTTCCCCTACAACTTGAATGGCGTCGAGCATAGATGGGAGTGTGACTCTGACTGCCACAGTGCGACAACAAGAAACCCCGGTGTTCCAACTGCGTCTACCGTGATGTCGATTGTCTACTTGGCCAAGATGGCCGAAAGTGAGTCTGTCCATTGCAACAGGTCCTGGTCATGAAAGCAAAGAGAATAACAGTTGCGCCGCCAGACCTGCTTCCGGCATCAGCAAGAATCTCAAGAACAACGGAGCCAACCTCGAAGACAACCTCTCCACGGGCAACTCTTCCATCGTGTCGCCGCACGGCTCCAAAGCCTCGGGAACATATAAGTGGCCGACAACGAGTTCAGCGCCTTTAAAGTTAGGAAGTGTCTCCTACTCGACGCCATCACCTATAGGAGAGCAAACATTCAACCCTTTCAACCCTCCGGCGGACGACGAACAACGTATGAGGTCGCAATTTGCAGACGCCGGGGTTGACTATTGGATCGAAATCGCTGGACAGGAAGGCTTCGAAGAAGCGAGTGACGAGCTCGATCTGCTGGATTTACACACGATCGATACGGCCCAACTTTCACTTGTTCCCAGCGCCGATCTGTCAAAAGACAACCGCGGCGAATTCAGACAGGAAAATCCCGACTACACGACTGTCAGTCCAGCACAGGACATCGACCCATTGTTCAGCAATGACCCTGAAGCATTCTCTGTATTGAAAGACCATGACCGATCCAATGCTCGCCAAACGACTGCAAGTGAAGCAGACAGCTGCCAAGTTCGGGACGAGCCCACAGAGCAACTGGCCAGTCGGCTAGGTTGTCTGCGCATCGCTGAGGACGGCCATTTGAGATACTATGGTGCTACGAGTAATCTGCATCTGTTCCGAAACGGCCTCCAGCATTGCTTTCAGCCCTCTATACGGACAATTCGCACTCATGGTCAGGATGCCCTTGAACGTGCTGGTCTACACTGGTCTTCGGACCCTCGATACGAAGACCATCTCACCACCTTATTTTTCGCCTGGCACAACCCGTTTCTCGGTGTTGTGGATGAGACTGCTTATTACCACTATCGCCAATTATACCGCGCTGGCAACACGACCATTTACTTTTCTCCGACGCTGGAGAACGCAATGTAAGACCATCCTTGCTACGCATGGCGTTGTCTCAGTCTTCCACTAATATGTGAGCCAGACTTGGAATTGGTGCCGCATATGCAACTCGCAAACACCCAGCGATCAAAGACGACCCAGCGGAATTCTTCGCCCACCGATCGAAGGTGCTCCTGGACATCGAGATGGACAGCCCGAACGTGGCAACAATTCAAGCACTAGTAACCTTGTCAGCCCACGAAGCGGCATATGCAAGGGATTCCAGAGGTGAGCATTTTCTCCTGGTTATGGTGAACCGTTTACAGGCACTGACTCGATGTGTAGGATGGCTCTACACAGGTATATAAATTGAAAGTCAACTTTCGATACTAGCGTCTTACATGGAGGTTTAGGAATGGCGGTGCAACTACTCTCGGATCTGGGACTACATCTGGAGCTCGATCAAGCGCGCGTCTCAGGCCATGACACTCCAGACATAACAAATTTACGTCGAACAGTCTTCTGGGCTACGCAAGGATTGGACATGTGAGTATTATTGCTTCGAGGACTCCGATTGTACTCGTCTTGAATTCTGCAGGAAGATGTGAGAGCTAACATTGAACCATTTTCTCCAGCCTGTGGAGCGCCTACAGTGGTAGACCCTCGTCAATCCGATACGACGAACAAAGAATACCGTTTCCTAAACTACTCAGCTTAGACACATGGCGACCGTATGTGGATGAGGGTGACTCGGCACAAGTCCCAGCCGGCCTTGATGTGTCCGTCATTGGCCAAACCCATGTTTACATGGCTCAGTTGACCACCAAAATCCGCAAGATATCCAGGTTCCTGTTGGTTGACAATCTGCTCCTTTTTGTCAGAGTTGACGCGTGCTGATGATTGATTGACTTAGCTATACTGGGCCACAAGTTGCCATGACTGAAGCAAAGGCTTTTGCCAGAAACATGATGCGTGACTTGCGACATTGGCGGAATTCTCTACCTGCCGCGATGCAGGTACCTTTTTTGGATTCTGACGACGACACAGACGACGCCAACACGCCGATAGCTCCGGCGGTGATCATGTTGCAGTATGTTTGGAGATTCTCTAAGTCGTCACACGATAGCTGCTAATCTCCCGGGACAAGTCTGCAATTTCTCGAAGCCGTCATTTTCTTACAGAGGCCATTCATATCTGCGCCAGACGCGCCCGGAACGAACACCCTCCAAGCAGACCAAGCCGACGACGACAGCGGGAGCATTTGCGACGCCTCTGCCAACGCCATCTGTCGCCTGGTCGTCATCTACCGGCAGCAGTGGAACCTACGACGCGTGCACGCCCAGATTGTCGCCATCATCCTCACAGCCGCCCTCATCCACGTGCACAATTGCTGCGTCTTCTCCAGCTCCAAGGGCGTCCAGGCGCACAAACAGTTGTCGATCTGCTTCCAGGCTTTGGGCGAAATGTCCCACTTCAACATGAGCACGCGGGCACTGGAGATCATTCTGTCGCTACGCCGGGATTGGCAGGATCAAATCTTTGGCGATCTGGGGAGGAAGCGCCTCGGCGGTGATCTTCAACGGCTGCATTAGAAAGGAAGAGATCGTTCGTTTTTTTATTTTTGCTACTATTTGACTAGAGTTCCTCCCACCCTAGACAAATCTTCAGAGGTATAAGTGTGCCTTCAAGCACGGAAATATTGGACTCGCCAGCAAGTCACTGCTCCCATCTGGAGTTGTGATCCCATGCCATCATGACCTCCGTAACAATTGATATTCATAGTAGGAATCAGGACCAGGATACATATCATATTATTCCCTGCACAGCAATCTCTCAAGTTTTAGCCCGTGTAACTTCCCTTCCTTACATACATGTACTTCCTCGCCAGAGCCGGAGTTACACCGGACTTGGACAGCTTCTACAACCCCACAGCCCACGGGTCTAGATCTGGGGGAGTGAGGGCTGGAGTGAGTGAGTGACTGAATGCCCCGGTCGCTGCAACTTGGGGGAGAAGAACCTAACTTGAAAGCAACCCATCTCCGAGGAATCCATGTTTTGTGTTTGGCGTGTTCCATTTCGGAGATCTGGGGAGCGGGATCCGAGGAGATTCGATGGTTTGTCTGGGGATGAATCTCCGGAAAACGAAACAACCCCAATAAGTCTGTGCGAACTTTTTTTCCCTCCGCAGCGAGTAGTAGTGAAGGGGGAGGTTTTGTTTTACCAGGAACACATACACAGAGACAAACCACATACGAGATACACACAGTTGGAAAAACACCAGCACTTTAACCTAGCAA